ATAGGCTACTTTTTATCCCGGAAAAATATACGGTTCCCGAGGGATAGATTTGTTTTTGTTTTTCTATATAAGTATTTAATAAATAATTCAATATTTATGATGATTATATCGTTAACTACATTTATTCAATAGTATCTTATATCTTTAAAAAAAAACATCTATTTGTTAAGTGAAGCTAATAATTTCTGTTTTTGTACTTTTGTATCCAAAATGTAACAAATGGATACCTTAGATACCTACTATATTATAATGTATATTATATATGGGTACGCAGAATATATTATAGTGTGTGCACAAGTGTACAAGCAGACTCCAGTGCACTCTCTATTCCTTTCACTCTCAAATTCCTATGAAACGAAAATTTGACACGCCCGGTAAGAGATAAGGTGCAGGACCGACAGGGGGTGAAACACCAACTTCCCAACTCCGAGCTGTTACCACTGCCTTAATAAAAATTACTACTACTGTTCGGCTACAATTCTAATATGACAATGTTATTAATGCGAATTACAATATTTGTATAAACAAATTTCATATTTGTTTCTTTTTCAGTGTATTTTTTATCTATACTGATATTATAAAGAGGCAGAATTTGTTTGTTTGTTTATTTGAACTTGAATTTGAAGGTTATAGGCTATATATCATCATGCTACTACCCAAGGGATTAGGGAACGGAGCAGTAATATAATATATAGTCTATCTATTCCATACTAACCTTTAAAACGTAAACCCGAGCGAAGCGAGGGTGAGCCGCTAGTTTTACCAATAAATGCATTCAAAATATAATATAAATGTAATAACATTCCCAAGTCTAAGTAAAATTGCTAGGTGGAGGAAAAATAAAGTAATCATTAGTTCAAGACACCGTTTTACTTACCATAATTTAAACTTCGACAAAGGCACTGACGCTGTAAAACTTTGCCCTCTACACTTCTTTTTATCTTTGCGAGACACCATCATGGCGTTTTTAGTGGTTAAAACATAAGTATTTTAATTTAATTATTGTGATATGAATGTATTATTATTAAGCAGTTAAAAATAACACACAGCTTAGCATCGATCATGTAAATTTTCGATGTTTTATTTATAATAAATTTCATGATCGATAGATCGTCTATTATGAAACAAGTATTATTTTCATTTATTCTAAATCATTTAAATCTCATTGTTTTCAAAATAACTCAATTATGCTTATGCCTCATAAGATAAAATGCTTTCTGACATGCATCCCTATCTGTTGTTGTATGGTCAAAATAAAAAAGTAATCAATAAAAAATTACATTAAACTTAACATTGTCTAATTTAATTTACCATTTAAAGGACAAAAAGTTCAAGTACGGAGCACTAAAATTTTTTGAACCCTTCACTCTTATATTCACTTAAGTGGGAGCACAAAGCAAACGCTCGACTGCGAACACTTTGAAATACACGTGTATTGCCTATTTCCTGTAACAATTGACAATATAGAACGCTTCGTCGCTTATAAACGGGTAATGCTTACTGTAGATAGAATGAAATAAAAAAATGGATGATAATAATTATAATATCTTTATTGACGTAAATACAAAAGGGTTACAAGACATATATTTTTCCAACTATATAATTAGCACAATCGTCGTTTAGGTATACTAACGTCTGAACTAGGCCGAGCCTGTATCTCAGACGCTAGCCTCTTCCTATTACACAATTTGTTTACTGCTAATAAATTATATGTAATATAATACTAAAAATATATATGTTATGTAAACAATTTCTAGATACATCAGCGTAGGTACTTGTTTAATTTACTAAAAACATCTACCGTCATTGTGTCATTTTTAAGTTATGATTGAAGTTAGACCACTAAAGCTATGAGTTTAAGGATTATTACTTAAAAAATGCAGCTAGCTCATTAGAGCTCAATTTTTGTTTAATTTATGTAATGGCTTGAAATATTAGTATCAATTATTTCTTTTTTGCTTTAAATAGAATAATTTAATATTTTGTAAACTTATTTAATTTAGCTAAAAAGTTTGTTTATATTTTTGTTTTTATAAATATTATTTTTGATTAGTTGTACATATTTTTTCTGTCATTTTTCTGGTGGAGGGCGTTAATATTGCGACACAGTTTCTTAATTTCTGCAATTACTATCTTTTATAACTGTTTTTACATTTAGCTAAAAAGTTTGTTTATATTTTTGTTTTTATAAATATTATTTTTGATTAGTTGTACATATTTTTTCTGTCATTTTTCTGGTGGAGGGCGTTAATATTGCGACACAGTTTCTTAACTTCTGCAATTACTATCTTTTATAACTGTTTTTACTATATATGTACTGAAATTTCAATAAATAAATTAAGCCGGTAATGTGAACAAATACACTTGGGAGACGACTCATCTCGGTGGTCCTCAGTCCTCAGGATGAGGTCCTCAGGTGATAGCAACTCTCTAGTTTATATGGAGATCGGTAGGTCAGCTGTCGAGGAGTCTTGGTTGAATGTGTGTGTAATATTGGTATGCTCCATCAACACAGGGAAGGTCCATTGAGTTTTAGTACTGGCTTTTTTGCCAGTGATTCTCCACACTTCCATCAATACGTATGCAGTTTGTATGCGTAAATACATTTCCCAACGTTAAAAAGGCTCTTTAGAATGATCTTTTGTAATTACTCTTGTCTATACTAATATTATAAAGAGGTAAAGTTTGTGATATTGTGAGTTTGTGATGTTGTGGGGGTAATCTCTGGATCTACTAAACCGATTTTCAAAGTTCTTTTACCAATAGAAAGCCACGTTCTTTCTGAGTGTCATAGGTTATATATTAACCCGAAGAATGAAAAGACTTTTTCATGGTAGTCGGATTTGCAAAGTAAGTCGGAGAAAAAAAGGTCGAACGAAAACGTTTCTTACGAACGCTGCCTTGACGATGAGAGATATATGAGTATGTTCTAGAGAAAAGTTGTAGAACTTAATAATGCCTACAAAAAAGTCAGCGACAGCATATGTCTAACTTTTATATTTAAGTCACAAAAAGTAGTTTTTTATATTAAAAAATAATTTAAATCAATAGGTCATGTTTATTGGTCATTTTATCAACAATTCTGAATTCTTATCAAAATAAGTAAATCTGTCGTCTAAAATGTTTAAAAAAAAGACTTTTCCCTTTTACTGCATATCCTTTGGACAAATGGTTAAAGAGATAATGATGATGATGTTCTCCTGGCCGATTCCGGCTACGGGGGCCAATCTCTTTGAGACTAGCCAACTGCGCCGGAGATATTATAGTGCACAAGTGTACGCACAGACACTAGTGCTCTCTCTATCCCTGTCACTCTCATACTCCCTCCGGTGGGATGACTGCTCGACACGACCAGTGAGAGTTAAGGCGCAGGACCGACGGCTTTACGTGCTCTCCGAGGCATGGGGGTAAAACACCACCAACTTCCCAACTCCGGGCTATTACTGAGACTTACTATACTCTATATATATATATATATATATATATATATATATATATATATATATATATATATAGAGTATAGTAAGTCTCAAGTCAAAGTATATGAGATTCGAACCCAGGACCTCCGAGTGTGCAGCCGTACATGCTAGCCACTACACCACCTAGGCAGTAAAGAGATAATACGACATACTCGTAGGTATGGAACCGCGACCGTGTCGTAATCTATCGAGTGATGTTTCTATAAAATGTTTTTTTTCATATATGTATGTATGTACAATACGTCAATCTATCTATACTAATATTATAAAGAGGTAAAGTTTCTGAGTTTGTGACGTTGTATGGGGTAATCTCTGCATATACTAAACCGATTTAGATAAAATTTAGTTACCGATTTAGATAAAATGTAGTAATAAATATAAAAAAAAACAAAAGAAAAACCTTTGTATCCGACTGGGATTCGAACCCAGATACCTGTGTTTGTCAATCTTGTGCCTTGGCCGCTTGACCACGATGCTCATGCCCGTGTGCGAAATTAGCGACAACCGAAAACAAACCGCATGAATACTCGAAAACACGCGTTTTCCCAGCCATAAGATTAATCTAGATAGATTTTTCGACCCCGAAAACCCCTACATACCAACTTTCAGCGAAATCGTTAGACCCGTTTGCGAGATCGCCGGTATATGTGAATAAATAAATATACATACAAAAATTGTTCGTTTAAAGATATTAGATAAACTATGAAATATTCTATACACTTTATTTGATCTGACGTTATCTTTGAGTCCTTTAATTTTGCATTGGTAGTCTATGAAAATGAAAAAAATATTTCCTTAGCAACAATTCTATGAACATATAGTTTTTAATTACTTATTATTATGATTACATACTATTAAAACAGTGAGGTCTCTCGAAAGGCCAAACTTTATATAATCTCTCTGTATATATATTATATACATTATACATACAATAAAATAATAACTCGGTCACATTTAAGCAATAAATATATATTTTTGCAAAAATTTCAAAAGAAATGCCGGATGGATTTCGATACAACTTTATTTATTGTATTGTCTCAGTGCTCAGTTTGTAGTGATCAGCACGAATGTTTGTACTCCCGTCATGGGTGTTTATATTTATAATATGTGTGTATCTAAAGTTATATATGTGTAGTGTATCAACTATCTGGTATCCATAACACAAGCCTCGTAGCTTTCCATGGAACTAGATGGTGCTGTGTTTTAATGTCCCAACATATTTATTGTGAAATAATTACTTAATACTGACATTTATAAAACATATGAGTAAGGTTATAGGGTATTGACTTCTGAATTATGATACTTTTTGTACATTCACTGAGTTTGCTGTTCTTAACATAAACAAAGTTTTATAAATATAGTTCACGTGCTTGTTGCATTAGTTCGTCTTTGACTCTTACGGCATTTAGACGTAAAACAAAAAGAAACAATATGATGAAATTAAAAATGTTGCAAAAAACGAATACGTTACTGAAATTTCGCATATCTTTCTATTCTATTGCCTTTGTGCATTTAGTTGTAATGGCGTTTCGACTGTTAAACATAAAATTTGAAGAAGCAGATGATGTGAACCTACACCAGTATTCAAAATTAAAATGGAGATTGATCACTTCTTGGTTCAACGTAAGTAAATGAAAAATGTGTTATTATTTATTAAACTCTATTAATTTGCTTAACCGACTTCCAAAAAGGAGGAGGTTCTCAATTCGTCGGAATCATTTTTTTATGTATGTTCACTGATTACGTTTTTTTTTCGAAGGGTATACTCCATAGGTGGTCCCACTTAAATTTTATCGAAATCGGTCAAGCGGTTTTAAAAAAAATTAACAATAGATTATTCTTTTAAATAAATTGCTTAATCGTTTCTTAACAATTACCTGCATATTGCGTCTACACTAAAAATGGAAAAATAAAACCTTAAAAAAATCGACTTCCAGGAACTAAAATATAAAAAATAACTAAACATTTAGAATATACACCTAATCAGATATTTTCGAAGTCGGTGCCAGCCGACAATATTTTAAGATATGAATATCTAATAGGTAAATATGATTGATTAGCTATGAATTCTAATATTGGTAAAATATTACCTATACATCAGTTTGTGATGTATTTTACGTATCGAAATATATTATATTTGCTATGCATCGGCTGGCACCTACTTCGAAAATATCTGATTAGGTATTAATTCTAAATGAAACCCCCGTTTAGTTATTTTTTACATTTTAGTGCCGGGAATTCGGTTTTTTAAGTTTTTATTTACTTTTTTTCTCTATAGTTATTACCCCATATTAGTTATTTTTTAAATACGAGAAGGTACTCAATTCGAGCGTGTGATTTGTGACGTTGTGTCTTCGTGAAATGTAATTCGATTTTTATGATTATCTATATACACATAAGCAAAACAAGATCAGTTTCTTTTCTTTTTGTCGTTTAATTTCGTGTCGAACTTTATTTAGTGTTATCAAAAAAAAATGTTTTTTTTTTTATATTGCTATATAGGTTTTGTATAGGTAAATTTTATTCATATGTTTTCCTCAAACTTTCAATAGTTATTTTCGAATTTCGTCCACTGGGCAAAAATTAGGTTAATGATTAGCCCTGCTTTAAATGTGATCGCGTTGACATTTTAAGAAAAAAAAACACACTTAAATGTCAAATAAATAAATTTAGTGATATTCAAGTTATAGTTATCTTATGAGCTATGTTTTATAAGCAAGTAGAGTGAGAATTTGAAGCTGCACCGTTTTTATTAAATTTATTTTACATTTTGAATAGATTATTCGGCTATTTAGAATAAAACTTTTCTATATTTATAATTTATACTAAGTATAACTTACTTATTAAAATGTTTGTTTCAATTTGTAAATGAAAATTTCATGCTTATGTATTGTTATTTTGTTATATTAGATGGTCCTTCTATTTAGTACACTATAGTTACTGATTTGGACAATAACATCGATTTTTTCTTAGATTTATCAAAGGCCTTTTATACACTCACTATCCAAATTAATTCTTCCGAAAAATCTCTTAGATTTTTTTTAAATTTGAAGAGAGAAATTGAAGTAGTTTAAGAGTGCCCTGATGGACAGAAAGTCATGTCTTAGTGATGTGTCTATGAAAGTACACAAACAGTGAGCCTAAAGATTCTCAAGCCATCTTGATCCTACACTGTTTATTAAGAACATATGAATATTGACTTAGACATGCCAAGGGCAAAATCATGGGTTACGCAGATGATAGTGTTATTATTTAATGCTTCGATATTTTTGCGAAGATGAAAATGAATGAAAAAAAAACTAGAAATGAAACAAATATCGATTCTTTTTAATATAAACTCAAAGAAAAGTATATATAAAAATATATGCCTCTATAATACAGTTACAGTATCCGCAAACCTGTTATTATAACTAAGAAATCTCAGTACACAATGTCTATATAACATCAACTCTCTCTCCCTAAAGCAAGCATAAATAAAGAATTGTGAAATATTTGGGAATCCTTAGCTAAGATTATTTACATCATGATGTTACTTCGTAATACAACTTTTGCACTTTCTTGCTAACGATCTATATATTTTGCGTAATTACATATTTTTTTTATATTTTGTGAAAATTCAGAAAAGACAAGTAAGTGTCATCATCAATCATTTGATATTTCTAGAAACAATCCAGTGCAGCGATCATACTAAAAACAGTGCAAAAATCTTTCAAGTATCCCAAATCTCAAATGTACCAAAATCAGTAAAGTCAATTATTCATTTTAAAATTAACTCTTAAAGTTGACAAATCAGTTAATATCCGAAATACAAAAGTCAATAAAAACGTCCAGTTTTCAGCAAACCAAATATGAAACCGTGTTTGGCCAAAACGTTTCCGTGCTTACATTGGCTTACTGGTATACAACAACATCGTTGGCGTTCGTGATATCAAATATTGCTTAGTTTAGACAACCAAGGCATTTTTTTTGTTTAAGCTTACTATTTTAACATATTACGCAACAGAAACAGTTGATTTAATAATTTAGTTATTTTTAGTTCATTTAGTTAATCTATACAACTGAGACATATACATATCTATTTACAAATAAATAGGCAAAAGTTCAGTACCTTTTTATTCTCAGTTTGTCAACCGACTTTTTTTTCTGAAATTTGCTATTTTTATAACCACAGAAAATCCTTTCAATAACATATACATAATAGTAGATATATAAAAAGTTTATTTGTTCCACAATGACGTATAAAGTGAGACTTACAATTCTGCGATATCCGTTTATTCTGTATATGTAAATAAAACCATGGTCGAACCAAGAAACAAGTTAAACTTTATTTATATACATATGTTTACTATGAAAACATACAACAATGTGTATTAACAAATTACTTGCAAAGTACAAAAAAATATATAAAATAAAATATATTATGTATATGTTTGTTGACAGCAGGTTGCAGCCGTAAAACTCACACAACTATCGACATTAAATAATAATGGATAGATAGAGACTTAAGTTAGATATATCTACAATTTCCATGTATTATGTGTATATTTATTTTTAATATATTTTAATTTATACACTTATTATAGTAATATAATTTAATATAATCTAAAACTATAGAAAATACATATTTATATCTCTCGTAACAAGCCCTTCCACTAAATACAACTAACAAAACTTTTTTATAATTATCTTTTTCTAAAATACCACCAAAAATTACAATCATAAACAAACATACGGTGGATCCTATAATAGTTTCTTTATTATTCGTGCCTCGGAGAGCACGTAAAGCCGTTGGTCCTGCGCCTTAACTCTCACTGGTCGTGTCGAGCAGTCGTCCCACCGGAGTATGAGAGTGACAGGAATAGAGAGTGCACTTGTGTCTGCGCGTACACTTGTGCACTATAATATCTCCTGCGCAGTTGGCTAGTCTCAATGAGATTGGCCGCCCTGGCCGGAATCGGCTAGGAGAACATCATCATCAGTTTCTTTATTCCATCGAACGTAATAAAGGCTGAAAATGTAAAAATGGTAAATGTCAAAATGTAATTTAATAACAAAATGCTTATTCTTACGTAACCTTACAAAACGTTTCAGCTAAATTAATACTCAAAGCGAGATCAATTGCTGCCTGACATCAATAACCCAACAAAAGTTAATGACGTTCATTAACTCAATATCACCTCATATAAATATCATCTCAACTAGCTTTAATGACTTACAGCATGCAACACAATACGCAGCAATGCAAGGCAATATTAAAAAAAAATAAGAATGGCGTTTAAAATATATTTTAAAATAATTCAAAGCAGGATACTTATTTACTTATTTATTTGCAAGATATGCCAACATTACATTGTACCTACATTCTAAATTATTATGTTATAAGATTATGTTATAAGATAGTTATTTTATAGAACGGTTAGTATGAAATACAAATATTTGAATTTCTCTTTTCTGTACTATACATATAATATGCATGTATTATACATATAAACCTTCCTCTTGAATCACTCTATCTATTAAAAAAACTGCATCAAAATCCGTTGCCCAGTTTTAAAGAAAGATACATAGGGACAGACAGACAGCGGGAAGCGACTTTGTTTTATACTATGTAGTGATTACTCATTCTAGTAAAAGCATTAATTATAGGCATACAATTACACAACATTGATTATATTTCCGGCTTTGAAACAATAATATATGAAATGTTAAATACAATTTCTAACAAATATTTATAATTTATAATACCTAGATAAAATTTACTTAAAGATTACAAGAACTCGTGAACACATATTAAATACATTTATTAAATTAATCACAATATAGGTTACTGATTTATAATAAAATCGTGCATACGTAAATAGAATAAATTGTAAAGTTCACATAAGTGAACTCTACAATTTATGAATATAATGTTATAAATTATGTATAAATAATTTTTTTCTATACAAACAGTCTTTTGATGATTCATTCAACATTAAGGACATTGGAATTTTGGTACTGTCCTACTGGAACCTCTACCAGCTATTGAAAGTTCTGTAAATCCAATCCCTCTTTGAAAGTTTTATAAAATTTGGATAAATTCATACATTCAATTTTCTTCTGTCCTGGATTTTTCAAGTTTTTAGCTTTTTCATATGACTTCTCCCTTACATATTATGAAAATCCTTTTTAACCGACTTCTAAAAAGGAGTATGTATATGTTTGTCTGTATTTTTTACGTATGTTACCCGTTTTCTCTCTCGGAGACAGCTTGATCAATTTTGATAATTTGAATTGAATTCTATTTAGATAGATCCCAAGGTCCCATAAAATTAACCAAACTAGCCAACTAAAATGGCATAACGAATATTTTATCAGTGCTTTCTTCTTATACATTGCTACTACTGCGTTTACACTGAAAACGGAAAACAAAAACTTAAAAAAAAATAGAACCCGACTTCAAAAAAACGTAAATAATAATTGATCGGAAATTTTCATTTACTATAGGTACTTAATAAGATATTTTCGAACTTACAATTAGTGCCATTATTACGTACGATAGACATCGTATATGTACTCGTATGTAAATATATCGCAAATGGAACTAAAGTATTTTAACAATAATTAAAGTTTGTCATTGTCATATTTACCTATTATATATTTATATCTTAATGCATTGTCGTCTGGCACCGATTTCGAAATTCTGTTATTTTTACTTTCTTAGATTTACGTGAATATTTGACATTTTATATAAAGCTTTCTTTTCGGATTTCTTCGCGGAAACCAAAAATCAAAATAAATCCGCGAATATATCCGAAAAGTAAGTTTTATTTAAAAGGTCAATTATTTTTTTTTAAATTCATTTTACTTTATCGGAGTTACTGTTGAATCAATCGATGGTAAAAAATAAACACAAACATAGATAAAAAAATCTTCAATTAATTTGTGGGTTTTAGGGAACAACCGTATGAGTGTATTATGAGGTAGTATTTTGAATTTAGAGAGAAACACTTACTATTATTAATAAATTTCAAGTTTTATTTATCTTTTGAAATTGTCGATCTTTCTATTTCGCCAATAGACCTTTAAAAGGCTTAATGAGTTTCATATTGAATAGTTTAATCAGCAGTTATAAAATAAATTTGTCATTTAATAGCTTAATTTTTTTTTAAATTGTTTTTCAATAAACTACACATTTTTAACATAAAAAAAGTTCAATGGACCTTTTTACTTTATTTCTTTTAGTATTTATACGTTATTATTATATAGGAATTTTGAGAAAATATATAGTGGTATTTTAATCTGTTTTGTTTAAAAAATATATGTTGATGATTTTCTAAACAATTCTATTTCAGTTACTGACGGCAACATATTTGCCTATATGTATATACTGCGACTGGTGCACGCTGAAACAAAAACATCAAAGAAAACATGTAAAACTGTTCAGTGAAGTCAGGACCTTCATGTTTACTAACCTCATATTCCCAGTTACAACTGTAAGTAAACCTTTTATAATGTGTTATGTATTAAGCCTTTTTTTTAACGTCCCACTGCTGGGCACTTGCCCCCCAATACGATCGGGTCCATCACGCTGGCCAAGTACGGGTTGGAGGCCTTTACATGTCTTTCGAAAACTCGCTAGGTTCTCTCAGACATGCAGGTTTCCTCACGATATTTTCCTTTACTGTAAGACAAGTGGTAATCATGTTGTAAATGATTCGCACATGAAAATATCAGAGATGTGAAACCCGAGATTTGAACACATTTCTCTCGGTTTCCCAAACGAGCGCGTTACCACTGGACTACCATTGTTTTTTTTTACTTTATAGATATTATAGATTGTATATTTTACACATTTATTTATAAGACAACAATATTTGTTGATAAAGAGCGAGTGCATAAAATAGGCTTTGAGTAATATACACTGGCGTGCAAAAAAATCGGGCCACCTAGAGAAAATGAACAAACTAAGGATATGATATTTTTTATTAATTTTGTTATTATATATGAGTCAGCTACCCATGACGATTTCTTAGAGCTGATGACACAATAAATCGATCATCACGCTCTGATGTGGCTCTTCGTCGGCCGGAACCATGTCGTCGTACAAAGCCACCAGTCTCTATGTAACGTTTGTACACTCTCTGGACCGTAGAACGGCTCACAGAAAAAGCTTGAGCCACTTGACGTTGACTTGGTCCAGTTTCAAGCAAAGTCACAATTCGAGATGATTCAGCCTCGGTCAGATCCATCTTCACGTATTTCTAATAACCGCAGATCACAGTAGAAGTGTCTTGTTCTATAATTGGAACTCAACTAAGCTTCTAAAATAACAAAAAACAGTATTTGTGGCTTCAATCCATATTATGCAAATATTCACTAATTACTGCTAATTGACTATAATTAAGCGCACACGTGCATTTCCAGGAATTTTATGACTTTTTTGAAGGAAACAAAGGCGTCTAATCTCCTTAATTACTTTTGCGGTATTTTTTTCACCAAACAATTGTCAACAAAATTATGCTTAAAATTAAGTTTATTACCAATTTACAAAACTCTAAAAGAAACAAAGAAAATAAAATTAGTAAAAACAATGATGTGACTTTATAAGTACATATATATTTTTAAATATATATACTACATGATTTATAATACATATATGATTTATCAACAAAAAAAAACTAACAATCGTTATCCAGATCTTATCGAATTCGCACTTGGATGGCTTTCATATTTACCTTCAACCTTATTTTTAGATATTGAAGCGAAACATAGTAAGTGATCAATAGCGTGTAATATAAAACTATACACGTATATCTATATACTTTATTATAATATGATTGAACTCAGTTATAGAATTTCTTTTTATAGCCTTTTTTCTATGTCGAATATACTTATATTAATTATGTGTAGTGTATCGACTATCTGGTATCCGTAACACAAGCCTCGTAGCTTACCATGGAACTAGATGGTGCTATGTGTTAATGTCCCAATATATTTATTTATTACAGAGTAAGCAGGGTAAAACAAGCTTGTACTCAACAAACGCTCCATTCGCCATTTTCTTCGATTTGTGTATTGTTACAGCTTAAACCGCATTACCAATACATATATTTTCTCCATATAATCAAGCAACCTTTAGACCCATGAATTTCATGTATTTATATTTCTATATGTACCTATTGTATTCAGATTAATAAATCGTAAATATATTAAAAACTAGCACATATCCGCGTTTTCAATGATGTATTACTGTGATGTATAATCTATACTACTGTAAAGTTTTATCAAAATCCGTTCAATAGGTTTTGCGTGAATGAGTAACAAACCTCAATCCTAACAAATGATTTAACCTAACTTTTATTATAATACTAGCGGCTCACCCTCGTTTCGCTCGGGTTGGCCTCTACGAATACCAAAACGAACCTATCCCACGGAAACCATATATTTTCTGGAATAAATGTAGTTCATGTGCTATTCCAGACTATAATCTATCTTGGTGCCAAATTTCATCTAGATCCGTTCAGCCGTTTTGGCGTGAAAGAGTAACACACATCCATACATCCATACTCACAAACTTTCACATTTATAATATTAGTATAGATTAGTAGGACGACTTACCACCTATATTGATCACGATAGACGAGAAATGGTCGAAGTGATACCTAAAGCCACACAGAAATACTACATATAGTACGTTGGTAGTATTGTATGAGAAACCTATCCACGTGCCTCGAACTACTTACTACTATACATGCGAAAACTTGTAAATTTGTGTGTATGACGTATGTATGCCCTTTTCACCTTCATGCTGAAACGGCTGGGCGCATTTGGAGGAAACTTAGTACATAGATAGACTAAAATCTTACCTAGGAACACACCCAATTATAGCTACCAAGATATATTACCATATATATCTTGAATTCATTTGTATTCTTTTATTACAGTTCGCTGATATCCTTTTCTGGAGGCTCTGGTTCCTTAACAGGGAACTTTTGATGCCCTTATCAACAGACAAGGTTATAGCTGTTTGGGAACATCACAGCATGCACACGGCATCCCTTATATTTGTTTTCATGGATCTCGTTATAGTGTTTCGAGAAAGACCGAAGAATATTTTACCTGGAGTCGTTGCATTACTTGGTTTCATCACAGTTTACACTTGTGTGTAAGTACCTATACCAGAAAAAGTATATTCTCATATACTATGACAGTAAAAACTTTCGTTTCTCCTTAACAAAAACAAGATTTTCTTAGCTCAGGAACTAAATGCAGTATTTACTATGTAATATCCTATATAGAAATCTTATGATGCAATAAATTTGGAGGTCGCAAAGACACTTGCTTTCTGAGATGTGTGCTAAACTAAACAAATAAATATTTGCCTGCTAAAATGTATTTACAATTTACATACATAATGTATAGGTATACTATATCGTACACGTACCTATAAGATAAGATGAAACTAAATATTCCTTCCTTAGTCCCTTCTTCAATGTAACTCATGTACATTCAAAGTAGTTACTGCTTATTTAAAAGCCGCAATATTTTATCTATACTGAGTAATGATTTTTTTTTATTTTTATGTGTTTGTATGTTTGTTTGTAATGGGTCAACTAATAATCCGCATTTACATATATCTAATATATAAAATTCTCGGGTCACAGTGTTTGTAACAAAACTCCTCCGAAACAGCTTGACCAATTCTTATGAAATTTTGTGTGTATATTCAGTAGGTCTAAGAATTGGACGTAAACTATTTTTCATACCCCTAAGTGAGAAGGGTGGTCAATCTAAAAAAAAAAATTTTTTTTTTGCAAAAATTTTTATTTTTTTATAATTTAGCATTAAAATACATACAAACCTAATATATATATATATATATATATAGAAAATATGATAATAATGTTGAAAATAATTCAATATTAATTCAGCCATTATTATTGGACGAGGTGACACACACACCTTTCGAGAACTAGTTAGGGTCCCTCCTACGCGTACGTTTTCTCGCTATATTTTCCTCCAACGTATTCGCAAGCTATAATCATGTTGTTAAGAATTCGAGTTTGAACCCACTTCAATCAATTTCATAAGCAAGCTCGTTACCGACTTTATTTATAATATTATTAGAGCAATTAATAAAATATTTTCTTTTGACTTTACAGGTGTGTCTTTAGTTTGCTGAACGGAGAATACGTTTATCCTTTATTAAAATTGTTTAAAGGTCATAAGCTATTTATAATTACACTGTATAGCTATTTATCACTTCTCTTCTATCACAGTGGCCAATGGATAATTGTGGACCTAATTCACAATCGAAAATATATTACCAAAAAGCTAATGTAGGCAAAATTATACCAAATTCATCTGTTATAGGAACTTTTTAATGTAATTAATAATTAATATTTAATTTGGGTAATGATATTGCCGAAATCCTGACAGTGAAATAGAAATTACATATATTGAACTAATTTTGTTATTTGATACGCTTACACTAATATTATAATTAAAAGAGGTTATTTTAGTTAGATATAATTATATTAATTATTGTTTTAATTCAAATTATATTTTGAATGTTATAATTATAACTTTGTTAAACAGGACTTGAAATATAAACCTCAATATGAAATCATAATATCTATCATTTATATGGAAGTAAATATTGATAAAATACATTCAAAAGTTCGAGAATTCAAGCCAAATATGATTTTGTATGATTTAGTACCTAGTTAAAAGTTGAACAGAGTACACTTTTGGATAAACTTTGACTGGTGGCTTTAAAAGTTGAAAATCAATTTTACCAATGTAATATGACTGTTTTTTTTTCATTATTAGAGTATTAGTTTACGTGAAACTTTTTTTTTATTTTGTTTTTATTTTCCATCAAGTAGCTGTTAATTACATTTACAATAATATTTTAAATCATTAGTTTCGTTTAAGATCTCGGTGCTCTAGCATCGACTTGAAATGACTGCAGCTACCTTCTCACTCTACTATACGCAAAAACTCAGCAAACTCCTAATGATTAAAACTATACAGTTGTAAAATACCTAACCGTAATCCTTATTTTATAAATTATATATATATATATATATATATATATATATATATATATATATATATATATATCTTACCTAATTTAAGCAATTTAACCAGTTCGTCTGAATAGATGATCACGATGATGTTAATTTAAAAACAGTTCAGTTATAATGAATTGCTTCTGTATATATTATTATATATATTCTCTAGAATATACCTATACTAGCAGAACCCTTCTTCTTCTTCTTCTTTGTCCTCGCCTTATCCCGTTACGCGGGGTCAACTTTCCTTATCATGCGACGCCACGTAGATCGTGTGTTCGCGTCCTGCAGAACCCGTAAACTGTAAAAAGATAGGTTTCATACAAACTTTCATCCCCTATTTTACCCCCCTGTGGGAAAAATTTCGAAAAATGCTAAGATACGTATTTTTACTATTTCAAGTAATTCGTATCACACATCGTACATTAATCGACCAATATCTCTCTGGACTCTCATGGACAGCACTCGCCATTTCATTACAATTTGGTGGGTTAAGGATGGATAAGGATTATTTTAATATTGTTTATGTGGATATTCATGTATGTATATAATATGAATTTATAGAAATATATTTAAAAGGTGTTTATTATAGATATATAACTACTTTGATTTTACTCTATCAATTTTCCTTCTTCTTTATGTCTTCTATATTTCCTCTAAAGATTAATGTGATCTTATTGTATGTGTGTGTGTGTGTGTTTTTGTATAGTATAAGATTCGAATATATTAACAAACATTTTATATTTTTATGTATAATACCTATAGATTATTCAGAGATGAGATATTTTCCCCGCAGTAAAAAGTATCCTGTATATTGACCTATCATCATACCAAATTTCATCAAAATCCTTCCAGTGGTTCTTCCGTGATGCGATCACAGACAGAAAAATTCTAAAAACTATAGATTCGGCATCTTTATCGATAATAATGACCATCTCAATAAGATTTTCCATAAAATATTTAATGTACAGATTCGACTCAGTTGGAATTTTATTATATGTATAGATTATGTTATGTGATACCTACAGTGATTTGTAGCATCGGCTTAAGTGTGATCCAATTAAAAACAAATATTTTTGTATTTCATAGTCTTTATTGGGAAAGGCTATCTAACTACGTGACCACCAGGAACAGGGCTCGCAAGAGAGGCCACGGGCAAAATTTTTATGTTCATTCATATTTATAGCATAAATTAAAATTTGTGAATGAATGTTAAAACTAATAAATACAATTACTAAGTAATTGAGTGAAATACCGTAGCAGATAATATTATATTACAGTATTTTGTTTAAAAAAACCTATGCTGTAATTATATCAAATAACACATGGTATAACTACATATTATATGTATGTATTATTATCATATAACGTAGGTATTAGGTAAGTTTCGTTATATATTTTTTTATTAAATTGATCGTAATTTTTTAGGAGTCTTTGATTTAAAATTATTTAACTATACTGCACTTGTAAAGCACTGTTATTTACATATTATTTTTTTGTAATATTCGCGTATTGTGTAACCTAAACAAATTTCAAACACGTGGTAGTATTTGTTCAATATGTATTAGGTATCAAATATCGAATTACATTACTTCTTTGCAGTCCACATCATAATTTGTTTTACTAACATTGAATTTAGCGACACGTTAACATTTTATAATATCACCAAACTGATATGTCAATACATTGCATAAAAGCGCTTAGATCAGTGGTTTTTCTCTAAATAGTTTTTTACGTTTGGAAATTCATTTACATATACCAAATGCAAACAAACAGGTGGTTATGTGGAATTCACCGGCTAGAGAAGCCAATACTACCCACTAAAACCCAACAATATCTCTTCCGTCTCAATGTGGCGTCGCAGGACCGCTTGCGCACTCAACCACGACGCCCCGATGACAAGTCTGCCGAAGCAGACCACAACCACTATGGAGTTGATCCAAGAGCCCACTCTGTTATCAGAGAAGTACCAGGAGCAAACCGCATTCGCGCGTGGCTTGATTGCCGGAAGCTGATGAGCCCCACCACCACGATAAGGTTAACGCACATTGGGGAGATTGTAAATACATACCCTACACACATTTAACCCTATGGAGAATCAAAAATTATGTTAATAATTCTAAAAATAATTTTTAGTGATGAATTAAATTTATTATGACATCCGTATTACTAACATACCTGAAAATCCATCAAGTGTGCTAGCTCCAACTAATTTACCTTGATTTTGTTGGAAAGTGAAGAAAAAATCATTAAATACGTTCACTCTAAATTGCAAAAAAATATTTTTAGATTTCTATAAACAGTAGGTATATACTTAACACTAAGTAGTAAACCATTTTAAGGTTATGATAGTTGCAAAATTCATCAAAACGCAACTCGTACTTACCACCTTATCGTAATATCTTAACAAACCTACACTGACTGTCCAGTTACACTACGAGTAAGTCATTACTCTTTCCACTGTGCAATGTGCTAATGAGATTAATTAAATTTTTTACATGATAATATAATCGTATAATTTAATTAATGTTTCACAAATAAGAATCCTTGATAAAAAGTAAAAGGCTCAGGTATTTTTTTTATAATTTTCTTGTTTTAGTAATTTTTGTGTTTGCACACGTATTGTGCGTAAAACTAAAGAATTATTAAAGAAAATTATCTTAATGGTTAAGTGGTCTGGAAGTTCGAAAAAATTTTTTAGCCTCTCTAATATTATATATAAAAACCAAGTTTTACTTACTCTCGAAATCACAAATATAAATAAAGTTGTAAAACAAGTTGCCTATTCTAGTTTACGTCGGCTATTTCTTTAAATTTAGCATTAACTAAATAAAATTAAAAAACTAAATAAAGTAAAAAAACCCTAACAATGTTTTACATTTTGAAAATGAATTAATATTTATTTGACTATTTTACCACAGAACATAAATATACGAGCCTATAATGTTTTTCCTATATTTTTGCTACCTTTTCAGTACTGCATGAGTTGAATTTTAAAATTTCTTAAATCCTAACGGTTACTTAAGATTTATGTATAGGTATTAGTATGTATTTATATTAGAAACATACTATCAAAATGCTCGACCTTCTAGTGACTTCTGATATAAAGGAGTCAGAACAAATAAATCTATATAATATACATACACACTTAAATGAATATTATGAACATGAATTTTAGTTAAAAAAGAATGTATTAAAATAAACAAATAAATAATAATAAGGCTATTTATTTTAATCAAACAAATTTTAATTTTAATTACAAGTATATAATGTCTTCCAGATTTGCCATAGGTATAGTCTCCATTCCTTCTTCACCTTGAAATACCAGTGGGACGTTAACTCCAGCTGTTACAAAAAAATCTGGAACATAATAATATGTACGTAGGTACATCCAATAAATATATTTGACTCGACCAGGGACTAGAACTTAGGACTTCCAGATCTGCAACCGTACATGCTAGCTACTAAACCGGCCGAGGAGGCAGCTTAAATGTAATTTATTAATAATGTACCTAGATTACAACAAAAACACGTTTAGATATAGAATTATATACTGTTAAGTTTTAATAATTGATATATTTTTTTTTATATATTTAAATAAAATTGTACTGAACGAATTCATTGTCAGGGGGACACTCCACCCACACGTAGTGCGGACCAACCGACCGACCTTGTTTACGCGTATACAACCTTTACGTTACAGGCTCAGACTAAAGAATTATATAAACTTAATCCGCGAAAACATATTAAAGTAAAAAATAGAAGCGTGATTTTTCTTTCATTCTCGACTTTGCCATATAAGATTGTTTACTTTCAAGAATATGGGATATTTTATATCTATACTTATACTTCGTATGATTATAGCGCTAACACTAAAGATATTAAAATATGAATAGTAAAAATAATAATATATTCTTTATTTTATTAGTTCCCTTGCCTTTGAAAGGCAAGTTGCCATAATATTATTATACTGGTGACTCATCCTCGCTTCGCTCGGGTTCGTCCCTAGCTTGATTCCTCATACAAACTTTCATCCCTATTTTTACCCCTTTAAGGGATGATTTTCGGGATAAAAAGTATCCTATATCCTTCCCAGGGTCTCAAATTTTTACTAAATTTCATCTAATTCGGTACAGTAGATCCAGAGATTACCCCAACGTCACAAACTCACAAACTTTACCTCTTTATAATATTAGTATAGATTGTTTTAAAGCATTATTGTTTGGCTTCATATTTAGTTCAATAATTAACACTCTGTCTATA